AACATGCCAAGTGGAACCCCACTGCAGGGGTGGCTTTTGAATATGATCCCGACAATGCCCTGAGGCACACAGTGTACCCCAAGCCTGAGGAATGGTATGTTCCTTTCAGAAGTGAAGGTGGGCATTTAGGGCTAGAGCGGGGGTGGACACAACTGCTAGTGAGCGAGAGAGGGTTGGCTGGCTGTGAACGTCAAAGAGCAAAAGCAGCTGCCTTATTGACCTGTGTTTGACCTCAGGCCAAAGAGTGAATACTCAGAGCTGGATGAGGACGAGTCACAGGCTCCCTATGACCCCAATGGCAAGCCAGAAAGGTAAGACTCTGGTCCTTTCCGGGATGTGGGTACAGGCTGAGTTAGGCAGTCCCGCTCCCTCACATCATAGTTCCCATAGCTGAGGGAGGCCCCAGCTGCCCAACAGCCTGTGATGTGTGCACATCCCAAGCCCTTTTTGGTAACCATGAGAAAGAGGAACTCTCCGCTGACCCAAGCTGTTCCTATTCTGCCTTGAGCTTCCAAAGAAAAGGCTGTGCAGGTCCAAGTTCAAGGCAGAAACTGGCCACAGTGCTACAGTGCAGAATATGTGGGGCTGTAGCAGATTCACTGCTTACTTGATTTTCCACTATTTCCGCAGTGTAGAACATACATGGTTGTTTTGGGAGTCTCACAATGCATCTTGAAGTAACATTAGCCTCCTTGAGGGCCTGCAAAGAGTTTGGACCACTCTGCATAAGAGGTTTTAGATGAAGGGAGGTCAGCCAGTGCTAAAGTCAAGTTCCTTACAGGAACAAAGTTGAGACTCAGAGGAAGGGTAGTCCCTGGCCGAGATGGGGCGGGCTGGCCAGCCTGCATCCAGGGCTCTCACTGGATTCTTGCTTTTTAGGTTTTACTACAACGTGGAGTCCTGTGGTTCTCTGCGCCCTGAAACCATTGTTCTCTCAGCTCTCTCTGGATTAAAGAAGAAGCTGAGTGATTTACAGACTCAGTTAAGCCACGAGATCCAAAGTGATGTGCTGACCATAAACTAGCTTCAGCTCACCTATTTCAGCAAAAGTGGGGATTCCAGATAGTAGTTGGGTTTCAGGTCTTTGACACCTTCTGGTTTGGGGTCTCTGGACTGCTATTCAAGCCTCATGACAGGCCATCAGTGTCAGCCAGAGGGGGGCTGCAGATTACCAGGGATGCCACTGGAATTTAGGGTAGGACAGTTTTTACTAGACAGTTAGCATGCCTGTCCCTATTTGTTAAGGCCCAGTGGTATTCCCCAGCACCCAGAACATCCCTCCCATCCCATTTCCTAGCAC